AGCCAAAAGGTGAGCCTTAAATTTTTCTGGGTCCGAACTGGGCAACTGAGACTCAGTGCCTGAGGTCCGTTTCGGACTTTGGACTTGTTGGGAAGACCAATCTAGTGGCAAACGAAACAGTTGGGTTGGACTTTGTTCGGCCTTTTTCCACTCAGGAAGTGAGTTTGCCTGCAGATAACGGTCCCTTGAAGTGGTTGCATTTTGAGGGGTCAAAATGCTTTCACGGGCGCTTGTCCTTTGGACGCTTATTCAGAGGGTAGGTAACCAAGGCGAGGGGGCACCAGGGTTCCCTATGATTCTCTCCTCAGTTCTAGGGGTACCTTCCATGCCCATTCTTTCCCGGGATGTTGATGTTCTTTCTACCCCAAGGGTCCGATTCGACGGGTTTTTGGGCTCTCCAAATGGGTTGTTGAGGGCCCTGGGAGTCGGGGTTCTCCATTGGAGGGCTTGAGGGGGGCGGGGCATTGGAGGGGCCATGACCCGGGTAGAAAACCTCCAGAAAATCAGGGAAAACGGCCGGAGTTTGGAAACAACGATGGTTGAAAAGAATGGTTGGAATCAACCCCTATAGATCAGTGATTCCGTTTACCTATAGGGTATCATTTTGAGGGTACCCCTCTTGTTTTTAGTTGAGCGGGACACCCATAGGAAAACCGTTGCGCCATTTTGGGCGGGGGTCCCCTCAAAAGAGACATACCCATATGATTGGTATCCAAGCGGTTCCCCAGCCGAAGTCCAAAAGGAAAATAGCGTGTCGTCCGTGGATCCATTGGGCTAGGTTGGTGGTTTGCTGAGGTTGCACCCGACATACTTTAAGCGGTTTTTTGGTGCAAAGCTGCTGGCGGAAGAGGTTCCGGACGGCTTGGGCGTTGCTTGCTTTCTTTTCTCTGGAAGTTGACAGGGGTTCCGATGATAGTCTTCCAAAACCCTCCTGCCCACTTGGTGTTGCAAAGAGGGTCTGTGTCTGTGCATTCCCACGTTTTGGGAAACCGGTTCCGCATCATCTTTCGGCCAGCTTGAAACGAGCTTCCTTTGCGGGATGCTTCAAGGGCACGTCTTTCAGCAGAGTTCGCCAAGCCAGGGACCTATGAATCTCAGGATTTGCTGGGAGATTTAAACCTACGAAAAGATTCTCAAGATCAATCCATCTAATGATCGGACTTTAAACACTTTCGGGCAATCTTCAGTTGAGCATCTGGGGCTGTGTGACATCCGGGGCCGTTACACTTTGCTCCGTGTTTTTGTAGCCAGTATGTTCGAACCATTGGGGTGCGCAACGTGCGTGTTTCTGCTTGAGTCCTGATGTGGGTTTGTCTCAAAATAGGGTAAAACTAAAATTGGTGATGGGCGCTGCTCAGTTGGATAAGTGCCAAAGCGAGTTGAGCGTGCTGCCTTGCGAGATACGGATTTTGGTGGTCTCCGCCAACACTATTTTAAGAATTTCAGGGTAGACAGACCAAGAGACCCCCCCGGCGGGTGTTGCAACAGTGAAGGATGCTCGGTTGGCCAGACGGACCGAGGTAAGTTCCGCGACGGGCGCTGCTTGGAGGCTTGTCCGGCAAGAGCATGCAATTGGCATCCGGCCAAGCTAGAAAGTTGTTCGTGACCTAGGTCGGTAACCCGCTGATAAGATTCCTGTACACCGAAATCCTTCAGCAAATTAACGGGTGCTACAGGAAACCACGGGGTTTTGGTCCCAAATTTTACATACCTCTGATCAGGTTTGGCGACAGAACCCCGGGTTTGTTTCGCGGAACGCCCATATTTAACCTGCTCTTGACTAAGCCTGTACTAAACCCATATTTTGTACTGCCCTGTTGTTGTTGTTGTCAGGGTTTGGGTGTGCAGGATTCCCAAAAGTTGAGTTGTTGACATTTGTGTAGCTTCTTGGTGTTTAATGACTTGGCCGAGCATCCAAGTGGGGAATCCCTCGTCAAAGTCGAGGGAGCCAGCAGTCTTGCTGCTTTTCTGCCGTTTCTGGATTTTCCTCACGCGCAGCCATTGGTTGGAACCAGGAAACTCAATCAAGTGGCTACCTCGACTCTCAAACTACCCGCAAAAAAGGGAATTCACCAACCACAACTTGGGTTGCAATACCCCCCCCCTTTTGGCGCAGGGAAATTTTCAGGGTGCAGGTACTCTTGGTCTACCGATCCTCGCTGTGGCTCTTCGACCTTCGACTTGGCTCTTTGTAGCCTTGACATGGAATCTGAATCGGCCATGGGGAGGATTCAGGTTGGTTGCCCTTCTTTTATGGGGAGGGTCCCCCCTTTGAAACGAAAATTGCAGTCGCCCAAAGGCTCTCCTTCGCTCCTTCCCATTTTGTAGCCCTCCGGACATGGAGTCTGAATCGGCCAAGGGGAGGGCCTCGGAAGCCCAAAGGCTCTCTTTCGCGAAGGCATCCGGAAGGCATCTGATGGCCAGTCTCCGATCAGAGGAGTGCAAGCAGGTTCCCAAAAGGGTTTGCGTGTCGGGGAGGGCGGGGGGGGGGGGTACTGTACCCGCAAAACGGGGTGGATTGAAGGGAAAACAAAAGGAGATGGGAAATCCATGCACCATGGATCTCAATCCATATTTTGGGACATACCCATATTTCCCCCTTATGCTTGACCGGGATGGGGCCCACATGAAGGCTGGAAGCACACTTTCCTGAAGTAGAAAAGTTTGTTGCTCTCGAAGGGTCATGCCCCCTACAATGCAGACCCCCTCAAGCCCTCAAATGGAGAACCCCGACCAATTCCTCAAGGGCCCTCAACAACAACCCATTTGGAGGGCCCAAAAACCGTCTGGACCCTTAGGGCTGGAGCACGTTTTTGCAGCGGGTCCGATTCGCCGAGGACACTCGAGGCACTTCTTCCAACCGGACGACTTCAACGACGTCAGCATCGAGTAGATCCAGCAGCACCGAGTCGACGGCCTACAGCGGAACCGTCGCTGAGAAGCGATTCACGGAGTGGAGGGAGCTGGGGTGTGCGGCCATGTCTTTTGAAGGTACCCCCATACTATGGTACCCCTTTTCGTGATTTACAGCCGAAGATGTCTTTTTGTTGAGGATAATTTTATGGTACCCACTGTTTGTGAGTTCAAACCGAAGCATCTTCTCAGTGAGTTGCCTTTTGTTGCCCGCGCCGCAACGTGCGCACACACACACGTGCGCGTGATGTCGCGCCAAAACAGGTTGGCAACTGTCAACAAGCGAGCTTACTTCACTTGGGGCGTTGCCGGCGGCATGAATGCTCGCATTTAGACGTGTTGGTAGATCTCTGTCCAATTATCAAAGTGGCAAAGGTGCGGGGATTTGGGAAGACGACCATGACTTTCAATTCAAACAAAGGGTGTTGCAAGTGGAAAATGAATGCCTGTCCAGCACTCTGCCACTTTTGATAAGACCTTTTTTTTTTTTACGTGGGGAACTATGGACCCGACACTTGCTCTGTTGCCCAGTGGCGCCCTGTTGTCTTCTTTCTTTTTTTTCGGGGGGGGGGGGGAAGGGTTCTTTTTTAAAGTCAACCAACCAAAAAAGGGATGCCAAGTCCTTTTTTCCCCATGGAAATCCACGCCTCTGCGCTTGGCCGTCGGATCGGAGCCTCGACGCTTCACTCGCGGACTTGAGGGCGGAGCTCCCGGAACTTGTGTTGGAGACTAAGGCCGAAAGCGACGAGAGCTCGAGGCGGGCCGGAGCGAGGCGTTTTTCTCTCCCAGGGTTCCCAATGATTTTCTCAGTTCTAGGGGTATCTTCCATGTTCATAGGGATGTGGGCCCTCCAAATGGGTTGTTCTTTTTTGGGCCCTTGAGGAATTGGTCGGGGTTCTCCATTTGAGGGCTTGAGGGGGTCTGCATTGGAGGGGTCATGACCCTTAGGGCTGGCCCTTTTCTCCTCACCTCCCCGAGTTCCATTTCGGACTTGGAGCTTTGTGGGGGATTGAACACATTTTAGTATAGTAAGCAAGTTGGAACCTTTTGTTGGCCAATCCACTCAGGAATTGAGCACCACTAGCGGTTTGGGTTCAGGGAGTTATTCTCTAAAGAAAAACGACCAGAGAAACCGATGCATTCGACGCTGAAAGGCATGTGCTCACCGAGACCTTTTCGGCGTTTCCGAAGCTGTGCAAGGGAGATCCTGATGTTTGATGTTTGGGGCGGTCTCATGTTCAACCCGCCGAAAACTCCGACGGATAAAAACGGGCTCCTTAGTTCCATGTGTCATGCTCAACGCCTGGTTGCTTGAACACCTGAGGGACTTTAGGCATAGCCATTATCTACTCACTCGCCCAAAAAAAAGACTTGATCTGACCTTCTGGTTTCCCCGCGGTGGGCCATGCATGTCTTTGTCATGGCTCCAAAGGTCAACCTTTTATGTTTGGGTCCTTTGAGCAACTGAGTAGGGAAGTTGGACAACTGTTACGTGCAATGCAGGGGTTCTCATGGGAACACGGGCCATTGCCAACATAAGACGTGTTTGAGATTCACAGTCCTTTTGGCGGTATGCCAATCTAAAACGAGTTTCCTTTGGCGCTGATGCTGACGGGGGACATAGTTGGAAGCTGTTACCCTGAAAATCAGGAACCACATTTGGAGCCGTGTTGAAGCCCCCCAGCAAAGTTTTCAAAGTATGTCATTGTCTGAACCAGGCATTTTTACTTGATTGGACATCGATTTTGGTGAACAAAATATCGCTTAATTCTGTTAAATGTTGCACCACATATTACTGACCTAGACAACATGGAGAACCCATCATAATTTTGTTTCAAGACCCCAATATCACTCAATTGAATTGAATGGTGAGCCACGCTCTGACTAATTTTCAAGCCATCTGAGCACACTCCTTGGGGCTTCGCTTAGGGCCTGGCCCGAAACGGGTCCGAAAAACAACAAATGCAGGGGGAACTGCGGTGGGGGATGTGGTTGCCAAGCAAGTCCGGCATCTTTCGGAGGGATCCCAACCTCCACCCCAGTTCGTAAGTCCCCCAAGCGGGATGCACGCTTCACTGTTGCGGGCATGTGTTTAATTAGGCTGTTGAATTTTCTTAGTTGGTTCTGTCCTTCTTTTTGGATGGGCTGCAAAAAACACGAGTCTTTTGCTACCATACCAAGAATTGATGGGAACTCCAGATGAAAGGGCCTTAACTGCAGATGTTCGACTTCTCGCTGCGAGGCCTAGCCTCTTCTCGCAGTGCACCAGGCCTGGTTCCTCATGGGTCATCCACATGGTCAGGATCCAAGTTGTTCCGTCAAGACTGACGCTGAACCTCGTGAGTTGTTTGTTTGCGAGAGAAATGCAGATGAAATCCCAAGTAACGTCGGGACGAATGGGGGAACACCAGGCCAAGAACGGGACGAATGCGAGAACTTCTTCAATGAGTTGGGGGTAAGCCAGTTTCAAATGTCTAAACTGTTTTAGTTCCGAAGGAATTCCTTCACTACTCTTGGCAAGTGTTTTGAGTTGTTTGGTTCTTTTCATTTTGCTTAGTAGGGGGGCTGCAAAGACAAGTTTTTTTGCAACCATACCACCAAGGCCCCTCTCTTTGCGCGGGTAAGGAACGCATAAGAAGCGCGAACTCAGATAGGCCTTCGAAAGCTTTTAGTCGACTAGTTGAAAAGATCCTGGGCCGTGCATCGGGCAAGACCAACCGCATGAGGAATGAGGACATTCCGTTGGTAAGGCAAGATATCACTTCAGGATGACCACCAGAAGTGCAACTTGTCAACGTAGGCACTGCTTAGCATTTCAGAGCTCACGAGCCGCTGGAACTCAAAAAGCGACCAGTGTTTTCTTCCCGGGACACTAAGTACCATGAATTTCAGCCTCCCTCCAATTGGTTTGGATTGCCAGAAAACCCTTTACAAAGCTGGGGATTTGACCAAATCCCAAGCCACCGATCCAACCGCCAACTTTGGGTTTCCTCAGTCAAGTGGCAGTGGCTCAAAGTTTCAGAGCTAGGGTTACGCAGGTTTTGGTCCATGTTTCCACTTACCAGGGTTCCGTTTTGGTACCGTTTTTTTTTTGGGGGGGGGTCCCTTTGTGTTCCACTAACCAGCAAAAAAGATACCTTTTTGCTGGGGTCCCTTTTTTCCAGCCTAGAGTCAGGTTCTGAAAGAACGGCCCCATGGCTTCTCCTGGCGCCTTCCCTCGGCCAGGATCCTCTGGTGCGAGGGCAATGCTGAGAAGCGCTGCGAGCAGATGCAGGCGAGAGCTCGGGTAGGCGAAAAAAAACCACTCTGGAGGACCAAGCCCCGGAAAAACGGATAGCATCAAACAGAGAACTTTCTTTACAGAGACATTTCACGATCACATTTTCGTTGTTTTCCTGTCTCCCTCACTCCCTCTCACTTCTGAGTTCCTGGACCTTAATCTTTTTGGGAAGACCATTTTCGTGCGAGGACAAAAGTTATGACTTTCTTCGGCCAATCCACTCGATCGGAAGTGAGCTCCCTAACAAAAACTTCCATTTGCTGAAATGAATATCTGTTGCTTCCCCCTCTTGGTTTTACAGTTGGAATTGGTTTCATTACTGGAAAAAAACAATATATATTATATGTGTTTTTTTCTCCAGAGGGGCAAAAAACGCACATTCACTACTGAACATATGTTCGCGTATGTTTCCATGCCCCAAAAAACGACGATCCGAGAGACACGCCGCCCGCGTTTTCCGGAGAGGCGCTGGGTTTGGCGGCGACGCACTTTGGATCCCCCTCCAACTTCACGCGGTGGTACTTTGAACAGGTCTCCGGGGCGGTCGCTCGGCGCGGAGTTCGGAGTTCGGTTTTCGGTTTTGCGAATTCGTGTGGTCAGAAGGTGGGCTTGCCCAGCCGTCCGGTTCAACTTAGTTTGCTTTTCCTGGAGTCTCCTACTGACCCTTAGAAAATGGTTGATCATTACCCAAAATGAAGGGGTCATGACCCCATTTTTAAAGGGTCATTGAGACTCCAGGTGGGGCGTTTTAGGGTTTAGTTTGGTTGCGTTTCCGATTTTGACCCCACAAAAAGTTAGGCGCTTTTAGCGGGGGATTTGAAAACGGACAGCCCAGTTGTGTGTGTGTGTGTGTGTATGTTTGTGTTTTGAGTGAAATGCTTGAGTTGGTACCCCAACAAAACGATGGGTCGTCGGGTTGTTTTTTGGTTATCGTACGACATGCTCACTTGGCTCGTTTTGTGTTGTTTGTCTATCGAGGCGACGGATACCCATTTTAGTTGTTTTTCTTTCTCAACATGGGTGGCTTGTGTTTTTCTTGGGATTTGAATTTGAAGGGCAACTAAAAGGAAGACAACTCATTTTGGGGCGAATGGACAGTGACACACTAATGTCCGGTTTTGTTCCATTGAAACCCAGCCTCAAAAGGGCGAAAAGGGGTACCAACTCCCAAAAAGACAGGTCATTCATTTCGAAGAAAAACAAACAAAAACAGCGGAAAACAAAAAACCACAACACAACACAGGCCTCAAAATACGGGTAGCCCCATTGTTGTCTGTATTGCCCTCTGAGCCAGTTTACACATCACCATTGGATCCAATTTTAGATGAGCCTTGGGCTGATGTTCAAGAGGTACATACGAGGAGCCTGACAAGTAGGCAAACCATGTTCGCGGTATAACTGGTTCTCAGGGTATTGGAAAAACACACGGTGTAGAGAAGACTTTGCCTTTGGAGGCCCATGAACATTTTTTCTGGGCCCTGAATCTTCACATGTTGCTACCCCACAAATTGGCATGGGATCATTTAGAACCCACGTGGATGCTCTCACTTGGGAAGCTGGTTGGATGAGCCAACCACTCCACGGGCTAGTCCCACGTCCGCGAAGCAGCCAACAGGCTTTTCAGTGCTTTCGCAAACAGGGGAATCATGTGAGGTTGTCAAACTCCCAAATCTACGGAAGGGACATGGACTCAGTATTTTTCTCTTTCTCGCTCTCTCTCTCTCTCTCTCTCCCTCTCTCTCTCTCTCTCTCTCTCTCTCTCTCTCTCTCTCTCTCTCTCTCTCTCTCTCTCTCTCTCTCTCTCTCTCTCTCTCTCTCTCTCTCCTCTCTCTCTCTCCCCCTCTCTCTCTAAGTTTCAACTACAAAAAACACGCTCTCTTTGATGTTCCCATGTTCATCACGGGCAACATCATCTGACCGATGTAAATGACTGGGTTTTGTTTGTTTCGTGCAACCGAGGAAGTGGATTTCATTATGCCATGTGGGGTTTGATACAGGAGCGAGAATCCGTGATGCAGTCCTTCACTTGCCAGGGGGGTTCCTTCAACATCAATTTTATTTGCAATAATTCCCAAACAGAAAGGTTGCGTCATGGGTGCACCAGTCGGGTGGTTTATCCCAGTACTCATATCGGGCCTCATGAAGGATTCATCCCAACTGGTGCGACATGGACTGTGTCCATCAGAATTTACAAGCGTCGGTGTCTTTTTAAGAGAAATCGTCGTCCCAGGTTGACCTCACTGTTTCATGATCTACCAGGGAATCTATTTCCAACCAAAAGGACGCGCGTGATTGGGTTCTTAAAGAGAAACAACTTGCAGGGGGTTGGTTTTTGTGAAGCCCAACCAACAATTATACCAGCATAGATCCCAGAGCCAACGAACCGCTCCGGCAACTCTCTTCCCAAAATGTGCGTGATATGTTGCAACATTGGCACTCGCTTGCTGGATCGAGTCTTGGTGGATTTGCTTAACGCGCCGCCTCTCTCTCAGACGGCTTCGGCAACGCGAGATGATAGCCAGGCGCAAGGGCTCCGCGAAGACGGCGGGAAGTCTACGGCTGGCGCCCGGGCGCGCCGAAAGACCCCTGCAGCAGCAAGCCCGGAAAGAAAAAAAAAGCGAGAGTACTGCTGCGCGCTTGGAAAGCATTTGCTTGCCTGGCCGCGCACTCCAAATTTCGCCGACATGGAGAACTGGTGGCAGGCAAACCACCAAACTGTAAGCCCGACCAACCGCTCACACAATTCCCGACAAAGACTTTTGCCAATGACGCCCGCCGGACTAGAATTCAGTCAGCGCTCGGGACACCGACTCCCGGAAGCCTTGCGCAACTCTGTCTCTGCTGGAGAGACATGATGCGCACGCGCACCGCAACAAGATTGACCGGCGCCTCGACACCCAGAAGATGCGTTTCAACAAGCCTCCTGCCTTCGCCAAAATGATTGGTTCTTTCGATCAACAGCATCCGTCTGAACTCCAGCTCCACAACGCATCTGGCGAACGCATCCAGAGGCGTGGCGCTCCATGCGAACCCCCGGCGCATGCTGCCGGAAGATGGAACCAATACCCACAAGCCCACAACACCATGGCTTCGACCCTACGCACGGAGGCCATTAGCTGTCGCGCGTAATTAGCATGAAGATGATGATCTGCCCCAGGCGCCGCGAAAACCCCAAATGCCAAAGCAAACGAACTTCTGAGCAGCAAAAGATGCGGCCTCCTCCCAAAATGCTCCTAACCCATCACAAGCTGCCATTTGCCACCAGGTCTTGGTGCCTCCGGCTTTCGCCGCGCCCGCTCAGCCACATATGTCTTTGCATCATCGCCGCCAATGCCCAGTCAAAAAGGCGGAAGCCACGGCGGCCCTTTGGCAAGAGGGCCTTTTGCGAACTTGGCACTGCCTACACCCGGATCCCCCATCCGCTGCCGCTTCAGATTGGAAACTCTGCATCCGGCGCGCCTATTTTCAAAGCCTTCCAGCGGGGCGGATGCCATCGCTGTGCGGGCCCTCAACCTCAGAAGGCACCAGCAATGAAGTGTCTTCCTGATAGGCTGCGGTTGTGGTGTCCTTATGGTCTTGGCCCGCAACAGCACCCTGCAGCAGCCCGTGTCTGCAGCAGCACCCTGCAACAGCACTTGACCAGAATCCCGAGTCTCACCCATCCCGGCTTTACTTGGAAGTTAGAACCCCTATAGCCTATAGCTTTCAGCTAGGGGAAAAAACACCATGGTTTTGTATACTAGGTCCCCCAGTAGTGCCCTTTTGCCCGGGAGGGTTCCCCTACTAAAATCGACCAGAAAAAGTTGGTACCAACTTTTTCTAACCTCTCTGCTGGAGGACCTAGTATAGGAACCCAATGACTTGACACATTCTTATCACTGATTCCGGGGTCTACGTCTGTTTTTTCGTTCGGGCCAAGGTAGCAGACCCCGAGATCCTGGTGGCTGGATGGCGGGAAGCAAAACCCTGCCACCTGACCGAGTCGAGGATCGCCCTGTCACGCGTCGTGTTTTTGTTTGTTTGTTTTGCATTAAATCCTCTGGTTTTGTTGTTTTCCCCTTTTTTATTGGTAGAGCCCCGTGGTTTCACTTCCTTCTTTTTTGGAAATCCCCTCGTTTTGTTGCCACTTCCTGAGTTCCGTTTCGGGACTTTAGATGCTCAGGAAGCCCATGTTACTGACAAATAAAGAATGATTGACCTTATGTTGGGGCCAATCCACTGAGGAAGTGAGTCTTTCGGTTGCTTTAAAAGGGAAAGTAAGGGCAACGTTTCGTCTTTTTCGTGGTGCCCTATTTTGAGTCACATCCCGTTTTAGGGACATCAACAGGACAACCACCATATACATATTCTGGGCAAACTGCACCGACTTTGGTGATGTCACCCACGAAGTTTTCTTTCGTAGGGATTGTTAATTTCGGTTGATGATTTATAACAATTTGCTTGGCAATAATATGGATGCTTTTTCTCAACCCTTGCTTGGGTTATCAAGGACAAGCAAAGGGGAAGCAATCATTTGGATGGCCTCTATTTTGAGACAAACCGTTTCAAACCCATATAATTAGCTTTATCCTAGAGTTCAACCCTGGAGCAAAACGGTTGGCGCACCTTACCTGATCAAACACTCCTTTGGCAAAGAATGGTCATTTTAACCAGTGCTTTAACTGTTGGAATGCAAAGGTTTACGTTTAAAGGGTGGTATCCAAGGGAACCACACTTGAAAACCAAACAGGGTTTGTCTTTTTTGGGGAACCTCTTTTGGGTTGGTTTTCAATGGACACCCAAAGGACAACTACCTCTTTGTTTTAGGGGGGTCCCTTAAACACAGACAGACCCAAATGATCGTTCCATTGGTTGCTCCCAGCCATCCGGTTCCTTAGCTTTTTCGCCTTTAGCTGTGTTGAGTGGTTGGGTTTCCATTCAACCCACGAAAGTTCAAGAGTTGGCTGGCAGGTGGGCTTTTCGCGGGGGATCTGAGCGCAACGATTTTTGTCGTGCCGTGAGGCGGATCCAACCTGTAGTGGTGCCCAGGTTTCCGGGTGGGACGGGTTCCCTTACTAGGTCCCCCAGCTAGGTGCCCTTTCTCACCCCTTTTTGTGGTTGGGAGGGTTCCCCTACTAAAATAGGCAAAAAAGGAAAAAATGGTACCCATATTCCAACCTCTCTACCTGAGGACCTGGCTTAGAAATCGGCCACCCAAAAGAGTGCCCTTATTCATTGGCAGTTCCCAGCTGTCCCCTTAGGTTTTTGTAGTTGTTTTTTTTTGGGGGGGGGGTTAGTAGGGGTTTCCGAATTTCATAGTCACTTTTGGCAGGGGGTCTGAAAACGGACAGTCCTTGTTTTTCCACGGGCACTGGGCCGGGGTTTCACGTAACCCAGATGCTGGCTTAGGTGCTGCCGCTATCAAGGCGTCCATCACGGGCAACACCGAAGGCTTGCGGAACGATTGCAAGCGCCGGGATGCTCGGGGGCGAGGAAGGATTCTCGTATGGGAAGAGTCGGACATGAGTCACAATGAAGGATATGAAGGTTAGTAAGGGGCAGTCACCAGGACCAGCCATAAATAGCTGCGGCCGCCTTCTTGATTCTTTACATGCTTCTGGGTCGACCATTTTAATACCGTGTTTTGATTGTGACTCACATGAGCCACTGATCATGGTCCACTGTTGGTTTGGGGATGGCGGGGCGGAACATTTTTTTCCGACAATTAGAGGTCCACCTCATCTTTTTCAGTAGGAAACGTGCAACATTCTTGGCGGTTTCCAGCCGTCCCAAAAGGTTTTTAGTTTTCTGGGGGTTTAGTAGAGGGTTTCGATTTATCCACTAAAAGTTAAACTTTTTAAGCAGGGGATCTGAGGACAGTGTTGTATGTGACATGTTCATTGGCATGAGCATGAAGGTCAAGCCCCGCCAGGCGATTTCAAGCTCTGCCCCGCCCAATCAAGAGCAGCACTTGTCTCTCAGTAGACTCTTGCAGCTCCATTGAGTGAGTAGGAGGGGCGACGCCTGGGGTTCAACACTAAGGAAGGGTTTTGCTGTAAAATGCGACATGTTGCTGGCCAAGACGAAAAGCGAACAAAAGAAATGACAAAAAGTAACCCAACATGAATCCCACACCCCAACACCAATACGAGGGTTGACCCCCTGGGCCGAACACCCATTCCAGGCGCTTGAGAGGGGTTATACGAGGGGGTTACTTGGGGCTGTAGGGTTTATCTGGACGAGTCTTAACCTTGGGATGAGTCTAACATGTGGAAACGTCCTTTGCTTGCAGGCGCATGTGTGCATACAAACCCAGGTCCCAGCAGGATTGTAGTGTTGACAAAGGGTGCTCATCCATGCGGCAAACAGGATTGAGGTAATGATTTCTCTATTCAGATTTCTCAGATGAATTACTCCCCTGCAGACATGATATGAAGCCCAAGAAAGCCGTCATTTGTGGACACATCTCCTCACTGTTTTTGGCAAGTTGCTAGGCTGTTTTGTTTTTGTTGGTTCGGTTCATGTTTAGTAGGGGGCTGCAAAAAAGACAGTGTTTTGTTACAATAAAGTTGTAAAAGAAGTCCCGGGGGATCTGACACAGTCATTTCTGATTCACGTCCAACCACTTGCTACCATGAACAGCGAGTCATTGCCATGGCATCTATCGTTTGTGGCTCTGAATCAGGCAACCGTGTTCCTTTGATTTGTTTCCCTCGATGCTTTCGGGGTAACCGAAGACGCGCCATCCAAGCAGTTGTAGGGCGTGGGTCACTGTGGAGCTCGCAAAAATGTGCTCACTCCCTGAATTCCTGGGCTGACCTTTCTTTGCGCGAGAAGTAGGGAATGAGAAATGGAATGACCCTTATAACCAATCCCTTGCTGGTGGTTTCCTGTAAGGGGACCAAAGCCTGGGTTCATTCCCAGATACTGGACATGTGGTGAAGTCGTATCTTTTTCGTGGTTTCCCACTAGTTTGGTCACCTCATGTATCAACCCCCATCTTGGGAAGACAAAGACGCATGGTTGGGAGGCCAGGAGCTTGACTTGCGTATCTTTGTGCGAGAAGTAGGGGATGAGAAATGGAATGAACCCAGGCTTTGGGTTTCCTTAAAGGAAACCATTCCAGTTGGGGCTGGTTTTTGTTTGGGGCTCCTAAAAACCATTTCTCATTCCCTGCGAGTCTCTCTTGCAAACCGAACCTGCACATCGCTTCATTTTGGCTGTGGGTCAAAACCAATAGTACCATTTTGGGGTAGGTGCACCACAAATTGTAGAACCTATTTTAGTGGTTGGATTGAATCGGATGTTCACTGGGGGCCAACCGATTTGGATTTTGAGCCATGACCATTTAGGTCCTCTCGTGCGCCCCATGCACGATGTGCTGGTACGGGTGATGATTATCCTTGCAGAGAACCCGAAGCAAGCGAAGAAGGCCACGGAGACTTGGCAGCGATTGGCTTGATGGCTCCCAGTCATCCGGTTCCTTAGCTTAGCCTTTTAGTGTTTAGTGGTAGTTTCCATTTAATCCACTAATCTAGGGTAGCTTCCATTTCCATTCTTTTCAGGGTTCCTTCTTTCTAGAAAACTTCTGGAAACCGAGGGAAACGAACGGTTTTCGAATAGAACGATGGTTGCAAAGAATGGTGAATCAACCCGAAGATTAGTGGTAGTTTCCTTTTAACCCACTAAAAAAGCCTTTAGCGGGGGATCAGAAAACGGGCAGCCCAGGTTGGTTTGTCTTATTTACAGCGCGTGATTCCTGGGCAAAATAGGCGCGCTTCAAGCAAGGGGATTCATTGATTGGTTTGCATTGGTGGTTTGAACGCTTTTTGGTTGTTCGCTTGGTTGTGCTCAGCAAGCTTCATTTTGGGTCAGCGCACTTCAACCTCTTCATTGAATTGAGCTGCTTGTTTTCCAGAGGGATAGCCCAAGGAGGGGGGTTTCCAACGTTTGGACATGGACCGGGGCGGGCGAAATATTTGTAAGGCGCTGGTCAGATGGAAAACGAGGCCCCGCTGATTCCTCAACCGAAGCCGGTATTCGGCGAGTTGTTGGATCACCGAATCGCCTGATTCAGTGGGAGAAACCAATGCACGATGCCAGAGCTTGCAATGCTGGCCCCGCATTCTCTACTTGCGCTTCACTGCTCTTGGCAAGTGTTTTAGGTGTTTGGTTTTTGGGTTTGTTCATTCTTAGTAGGGGGCTGCGGGGGAAATACAAAAATGACCGTTTTGCAACCACACCTAGGTCCCCCTGTAGTGCCCTGTTACCCTTTTTGGGGGAGGGTTCCCCTACTAAAATAGACGAAACAGGAACAAGTTGGCAACATCTCTACTGGAGGAGCTGGATACCAAGGCTTCTGAAGTCCAAGAGAACCAGGCACCTTCTTGCAATGACGCCCTGGCTCGAACATGTTGAAACGTGTCACACCCGGAGCCTCAAATGGACCTGCGGATGTTTCCTAAAAACTTGCAGCCGGCGCTCCTTTCAAAGCGGCCAACAGTAGGGTTCCAAAAGAACACAACATACCCAGATCCTTCCATTGCGCCACGAAAGGGTTGGGCCACGTACTGGCTGTCTGATGGGGAACATATGCTTATATGGGTATGGGTCAAAATTAAACCACCGGGGACCACTGGTTTTAGTCCATGTTTCCATGTACCAGGATTCCATTTTGGGTTCCTATTTTTGACCCACAGCCACATATACATGATATTGGCCAACCCTGCATTTTGAAGAGCCCAGTGGCTACTTGGGCAAGACGTAGTGAAGTGGTTGCTTGGGGTCGAAACTATACCTCTATTCCCTAATTGCCATAGTTCTGACCTAAGCTTCTTTTTTGCCCAGTTGGATTTGTCTCACAATTGACTCGGACCTCCCCGTAAATGTGTTTTCCCTTGGTTTCCCCTTAAACAGGACTCCAAAAAGGGTACCCTCAAGACAAGACACACCCAGTTAGCACGATCGCAAATATCCAACCGCCTTCCCTTTAGTGTTTCTTTGCCGGGTGGGAGATCGCTTTGATTGCACACATGGAATGGCTGGTTGACGGACACCCTTCCAAGTCCTTGTTTTTTTTTTTTTTACCCAAAGACTCGGAGCAGGGCTCCTCCTGCTTTCTTTTTGGTCCCCCTTCAAGGAAGCTCACTTTTGACCCACCTCTGTTGCCCAGTGGATTCCGCCCTCTTTTCAACTCTTTTTGCGGAAGGGTTCCGATTCCTTTAAAGTCAGCCCACCAAAAAAGGATGCCTTTTTTTGCCACTGGGCATCTGACCCCTGCAGTGGGCAGCTTCCTTTGTGCAACAGCTAGTGGGTTTGGGTCTCTGCCCAGACACGCACAGAGGGGTGGGCTCTGGCGGCTGAATCAGGAGGGTTCCACAGCATTTCCGGGGCTTCCGGGGCTGGTGAGTTTTCTTTGAGAGGTTTCATGGTTGTTGTTGGGAAACGTTAATATATATATACATATATATATATATATATATATATTTACAAACATTTTAGCTTATTGTGGTTTAGTGGTTGAAATCCAACCACCGAACTGCTAACATTTATTTTTGTTGCTCCCCTTCCAAGGTCAACCAAGGTTTGTCAACCCAAACAAGTCATTGGTTTGGGTCCCTTGTGGACATCCACGGGTCTGAGTAAAATGGGTCCTCGTCGGTGTCCGGGAAAGCTGAGGAGTGGATTCAGTCAGAGGAGCTGCTGAGTCGCTTCATCACATGCCGCAGCTTTGTCCTAAAAGAAGGGGGGGCCGGTTCCTTTGACTTCTCCAAAAGAAACCAAACAGAGGTTTCCCGTCAAAAAGAGCCAAACCCGTACGATCAATTGAGTTGACCCATTTGGAGTACCTCGGGTTTTTCAGAGACTCTGGGGAACGAAAGCTGAGGTTCCAACCAGACCCAGAACGTCCATTTACAAAGCAAATGGAGGAGACAATTTCCCGTGGGGAAACCTATGAATTCAGAGGCCCTGTTCAAACATTGGGGTTCACGGGTTGCCATTCGGTACCATGGGTTGGCCCAACTGATGCCTACGAAATCCATTTCGTAATACCATTCAGAAGCCCTGGAATGATTAGATTCCCCAACGTAAATACCAACAAAGCTTATGGTTTCAAGCATCTCAACGTGCTGCGATGCAATCTCTTCCATCCACAGTTTCGGAATCCCCTTGTTTGACTCCCTGAGTTCCGTTTCGGACAAACTTTTTTTTGAAAGAGCGGCTTGGTGGAACACGATTTCTGGCACCCCCAGCGAAAGGGTGCCCGACCTCTCACCGTTTCTTTTTTGGTTGGGAGATTCGCTTCCCCTACTGAAATGGACTACAGACAAAAGGGTACCCTTATTCTAACCTCTCCACTGGACCTAGCAACAAAATTGGCCAATCCACTCAGGAAGTGAGAAATGGAATTGGGGGAGGGGGGGGATGAGTCCTGGAACTCCAGTTCTGGTTCCATGGTCCCTTTGGGGAAGACTTAAAGACTGATTTGGGGACCCCTTTTTTCTGGCCGTACACGGGCTCGTAACCCCGAAGAGGTACGCCCACGATTGTCACGGCTCACGGTTCACCCTGAATCAGAACAGGTAGGGAAGTATCAAGTGATTGATATTGAGGAAAAGGATATGTTCTGGTAAGGTTTGCTGGTTGTAGACGGCTAAGCACAAGCAACCCTTTTCCTGTCTGTGACGGTAGCTAACTATGCCTGAGAGAAGAATGGCCTCGAGCCCAGATGCTTGTGTGAGATATGATTGCGTGAAGGTCAAGTCGGAAAACTGAGAGCAGCAGGCACGAATTTCTGTTGACCTTTACGTGACAGGCCCAAAGGCGGCGGCAACTGTGCCCTTTTACCTTTTTTTTGGGGGAGGGTTCCCCTACTAAAATTGACTACAGAAAAAAAGTTGGCACCCTTATTGGAACCTCTCTAATGGAGGACCTAGGGTTGTTTCCTTCTACCGTCGACCACCCACAGAGATTGCTCACTTTCTTCCTCTGCCCTAAGGGTCATGATCCCTCCAATGCAGATTCCCGGACCCTCCAACGGAGAACCCCGACCAATTTTGCCAGGGCCCTCAACAACGACCCATTTGGAGGGCCCAAGAACAGACGGGAACTCTTAGGGTCAGCCATTAGCGTTTTAGACTTTAATGTTTAGTGGTAGTTTCCATTCAACCCACTAAAAGTTAGTCACTTTTAGCCAGAGATCTGAGCCCAGCAAAGATTGGCTTGGTTTCGGTTGTGGTGTTTTTGAGCCGCCGCGGCTTTTCAGTTTTGGGCCAAACCCGAGGTGTCGTGCTGAGTCTCCCAGAGCTCGTTGCGGTACTGAGCTGACGGGCCAGAGAATGGTGTGCGAACCCGGAAACCGCCCTGAAAGGAACCCCCGAATTCACGGTTGTTGTTGGGAAACAGTTTTTTTTACAGTTTAGATTCAAAATCCAACCACTGAACTGCTAAGATTGGTTTTTTGTTTGCTCCCCTTCCAACGTCAAGCATTGGGCTTTGGTGTCCAGGCCTTTGTTCAGGTTTTGGTTTGCGGGGGCGATCCGCGGGGTTCGTGTTTACAGACCCGTGCAAGAGAAGATCTTCCTATGATATCCCCCGAGGGATATCGAAGCTGGTGTTTCTTTCGATAGCCCCACTTGGCGTAGACTTTTGTGCGCGACGGACATGTGTTCGCCAATACTGGAGGAAAAGTTACCCAGTCCGGGTGGGGAAGGTGTGGATATGTTTGTCAGACTGATTTTAAGGGTGTGATCCATGATCCTTCGCGGGAAGCTTGAAAGCTGTGCCATGCCGCAGTCGGATCCTGGCATGGAAGGAGTCTGCGAATCAGGCCTTCGACCTCACAGGCTTTCCGATGGACATCCGGAAAGACTACGTATACCACAGCCTAAAACATCATGGTTGTTGTTGGGAAACAGTTGTTGTTCTTCATATTTTTGCTTTTTGCGGTTGAGTGGTTGAAATCCAACCACTTAACTGCTAGAATGGAAAAGTTTTTGCTCCCCTTCCAAGGTCAACCAAGACATTGCCGTCTCGCCAAACACAAAGTTTTACGTGGGGAAGACGAAGTATTTCGACTGAATCGGGACATATTGTTTCAGTGTACTCCAGATGAGGACCAAGGCATCATGAGAATGGGATAGTGGAGGGACGTTGCCGCCAAGATGTCATATTCAGAAGCGAAGCACATGTGTAATTGTGTCTTGCCCCGCGCTTCAAAATAGCGAAAATAGCTGCTGGTTTCATCAACTTGCGAAACAAAATGAAATCCGATGTTTTGCGCAGGGTCCCCAATGTTGCACTTAAGACTTGAATCTCAGTGGGATAAACAAAGAAGAAGGGGCCTGGTTTTGTGCTTGGCAGTGACGGGATGGCCCAGCCCAGGTTCGAAGGCTCTCATGAAGGCAGTTTTGGGGCGGATTGGGGGATAGCAAGCCAGGCAACCCTTTGCTGGTATGGCTTGGCTGGATTTGAAGCCCTGGTTCTTGTGAGTATCTGAATCCAAACCACCAGGTGGGTCAGTTAGAGGGAAGCTGAGTCAATTTTTCTCTGACTCCCCAAAATTCCTTCCCCGGTCCCTGATCATAGAGAAAACCGTGCTCGAAATCCCGCCCGGCTCCCCTTGGCGAATGTGGGCCGTTCCTTGCACCTCGAAGCTTGCTGGATACCGGGGAATGGGGGGAAATGAAACATATATAAACCATCCCCTATGGTTTCCTGTAAGGGAATCCCTGGGTTTATTCCCAACACCCTAGGTCATTTCCTACTGAGCACCATTCCCAACATGTTGGAAAGCAAGGAACTCGTCCAACCAAACAGGAACATGCGGGCAAGGAACGCTGCACCAAGTGAGGTTCATCAAACAGAGCTCTATACTCCGATTTGTTGGTGGTTCAGAATAGTAGACCCCTTGGCCCTTTTCATTTTCATCGGAAGCCAAAGGAAACCAACATTCGAAGTTGACTTTGGCCCTTATCATTTTTTGTTGGGAAGCCAACGGGAAACCAAGTTTCGAAGTTGACTTTGAGAAGCACCCATGTTTCTCATAAGAATGAGACAGTACAGGTGAGGCTCCCCGATGGATCTTGGCACAGATCCGCCGATGCTTGGGGTAAGGATTCGCGCCGAGTGCTGAGCGAGTAGCTGATGCGTGACCATTCTTGGAATATTGTTGCAGATGCACCTGGACAGTGGTGGCTTCATGCCGGAGGGCTTACTATACACATATACATATACATGCATGTATATATATATATGTATATGTATAGTGTCTAGGCTTTAGGTGGTCAAATATATGTATCTATATATATATGTACATACTATATATATATATATATGCGAATGCCTTCAAGCGGAGCAGACATGGGTTGCAGCTTTTGCGCGTGTCCAACCCCTTGCGGTCGGAAGTATAGACACCCGATGAGAGAATCTCGCATGCGACAGACGGGAAGTGTGTCGGTCAACAGTGGATTGTTGCGAAATCCATGTCGCACCGTTCAGAAGCCCTGGAATGACTCGATTCCCCTGCAAATACCATCTTGGTTTCAGTGCGAACCGGATTTCATCGGTTGTGTGGTTGCAAGCAGCAGCCTAGAAACTCGGAGTTGTTGCTTCCGTGCTTCAAGCACTATATGATGTCGACACACAGGAAATCCTTGAGGTTGCCAGGATGTTTTTTCCTCGGCACCTCCGCGGATGCGGATGGATTTGATGGTATTTCAATTTTGGCTCTCTGACAGCAACTGAAGGAAGTCTTGGGCCACGCTTTTCATTAGATTCGCTTCTTTGCTACGCACTTTTCTCCAAAACAAATCGACGTGAAGGTCTCCTCAACGCCTTTTGCTTAAAAGCCTTGCCCACTTCGCGCAGGCGGAGCCAACTGCATTTTGCAGTTCCGCCGACCCGACCCGACCTGTCTCACATGTAAGCTGTGCCCAGCTGGTCGGGCCTTTGGCGACGCCTAGAGGTGCGGGCCGAGTGGAGTCTAAGTTCAACCTGCTGGCTAGGTCCCCCAGTGCCCATTCTTTCTCACGTTTCTTTTTTGGTTGCGGGTTTTGGGTTCCCCTACTAAAAAAGACTACAGACAAAAACCCTAACCCCTCTACTGGAGGACCTAGGCTAGCTAGCAACTGCAAAAAAATCACTTGGCAGTCCTCGAAGGCGATTCAGCACGGTGTTAAGCTTGGACGTGTTAGACTTCTGCAACGGATTGGTCTCCGTGGTTTCGGCCTGAGCACCATTAGTGCGACCGCACTAATCACTATACACGCCTGCGTGTTGGCTGCAGAGAGCAACGCTGAGAGCGGACGCTGAGAGCGTTATCCAACTGAAGCTAGCGCTGACAGCGGTTGAAAAGAAGCTGCTTCCTGAATTCCGGAGCTGTCGGGTGCAGGCCGAGGGCCGAATGGTCCGAGGGCCGGATGGTCCCATAAAAAGTGTTTCGTGGACTTGATTGTTTTGGGGGGAAACAGGGGATGTTCCACTTGGTGGCTCCCCGTCAGCCGGTTTTGGCCCTTTGGTGTTTAGTGGTTTCCATTTCACCCACGAAAAGTTCGTCACTTGTCGCGGATCCGAAAACGGGCAGCCCAGTCAATGTACCCACAACGTTGAGCTTTGAAAGCAGAGGCATGGTTGCATGGTTGCATGGTTTAAGCCCCGTTTACCAGGGAAACCCATCGATTTTTCCAAAGGGTCACCTATGGGTACCGGTTTTTATTTTTTATTGGGATTTCTCAAAATAAGGGCTCTTTAGTGCTAATCAACCCACAGTTGCTTCTTGATTTGACACCAGAGGGAGGAATGGTGGCAGAGCCTTTGCTTTCACTACTGGTAATCATGGTTTTTGTTGGGAAACCGTGTTTTTACAGTTTTGCTTATTTAGTGGGTTGCTTTTTTAATGGGTTGCTCGAGGGTCAGAAAGTCCAGGTAATTATCCCTGGTTGTTGTTGGGAAACACTTTACGTATTTTGCTTGTTGTGGTTGAGTGGTTGAAATCCAACCACTTAACTGCTAAAGTTCAAACAACATGTTGCTCCCTTTCCAACGTCAACCAGGGGTCAACAGCAACCGAGACTATAGCTTTATGAATCGAGCTTCCTGGGCTGTCTCTTTCCAGCGTTGTGATCAGACACGTGAGTTGCTGCTAGGTTGTATCTATCTTGAAGTGTTGGGGAAACATTTTTTTGTTAGCTGTTGTTTTTTTTTTCCAACCAAGCAAGGGTTGATGTGTATTTGTGCACTATTAGGTATCAATTTAGTATTTGTCTACTAACCAACCAAAGAAGTTAATCCGTTTGCACTTGGGGCGATAGCGACACAGGAACAGCGTTTCTTCGAACTTCAAACGCTGCAGACATGGAGTTGGATGGCCACCAATCCAACGTGAATATGTGCAACGACATGGGTCGGGATAGTTGTCAACTTGATTGCTAGTTGATTGGATCTTTGGACTTGCTGGTTGAAATCTAATGGGTGTTCCATTGAATCTCCAAGTTAAACTCTTTGCAGACAGGTCCAGAAGACCGTTCTGGTGGCAAACAATGAGTTTGGACTTGTGTGGGCGAATCAACTCAGGAAGAGAGAGGTGTTTCATTTGGGAGGACATGCGGGGGCTCGCGAATGGTCCTCTTCAAAAAAAGTTCGTATTTTTGACCCGCAGGAGGCTCCAGGGGTCGAGCATCCACCATATAGCCGCTGACTTGGCCAAGCCAAGCTTTTATCGGGGTGTCTTTTTTTGGGTACCCTCTTTTGGGTACCGTTTTTTGGGTGGCTTTAAATGGGAATAAAAGGAAAGCCACCATTTTGGGGGGTCCCCTAAAGAAAGACACACCCATTGTGTTGAACCTTTATCCTTTGGGCCTGCGGCCTCTAGCCGGCTACGCCTCTTTGAAGTTATACTATGTCATGTCATGTGTTTTTGTGTTTAATGAGAAACGTATCCTGTGCTATGATATGGCCGGTTAGGTTACGCATGTTGTTCACATGGGGTCGCGCGCGCGCGCCAGAGGCCCCAGAACCAGCAGCCCAAAAAGAACAGCCCGCAAGCCAGCCCGTTTTATGGCTGTGGTCGCGCGCGCGCGCCAGAAGGCCCGAAAACCAACGGGAAGAAGGCAGAGACCGCGCAGCACGCGAGCCAGCAACAACAAAAGCAAAACGGACAGAACAACAGCCCAACGCTCAGCGCAGCAGTTTTTGACAGTATTTTCGGCGTTTTGTAGAGCAAGGACCCAGCATCGCCGGCATGCCCGGCAGCACTTGGCACCAAAATGCGCGAAAATGAGTCAATGAGCCTTGCTTTTATTTATCCCTTCAGCGCCTTCTAAAAAACA